TAGAAAAAAAAATCATATTCAGAAACTACATTAAAACCGCTCTTAGTGTCATGTTTATGATTCGTTATGTGCATCGATGTTCGATGGCATTAGTTACATATATACTCCGTATGATAGAGTATATGAGTTAACTCAGTTAAGGCTCATAGCTCACATATTCATAGATATACAAACAATAATTGGATTATACTTCTCATCCGGACATCTCGGTCCGAAGGGAGGCTACTTGCATAGAACACCCGGAAACAACTTAAAGGATCATCGGATATGCCAAGTCAAAAAGTCGACCCATATGTAGCACGAAAAACTCTCAGGAAAGAGTACATTTTCATTTTGGTAACTCTGGAAATTCTCCAAACAAACCTTTTTGGATAGAAATTGGTGTTTACCGTTTCTCGTTGACTCATGACTTTGCAACATAGTGTATAGACTCCTAAGGCCTCTCACATTTCATCCTCAACTGGGTTTGAACCATGCATCCAAGGAAGCAAACTAATTTAATTAACAACGAATAAACAATAATAGGGACATCAAACTCTTGTGTCCTCGATTACCTCACCCACCACTCAGCAGGTGTCATCAGGCGTCACACGTGCATTCTGTTGCATCGTAGGGCTTTCACTCATAAACTAATGACATTCAATTCTTAATTATCGGATTCAAGCTAGTATTTGAACAAAAACTGAGTATACCAATTGAAGCAAATACGAATAGAAATAAGATCTAATTATTGGATGAGTATGAATACAATATTCATTTATTGTACCAATAATGTCAACTATTCACTTCGATTCATTTTGTTCACACGCTTAGAGCCAGACGTTTTCATGTCCAAATTTAAATTTAGCAGGCCGGCCCCTAATAAAATAGTCAAAATGTAGTCACGCATTTGATTGTACCATTCAATTTGATTTAGTCACGCATGACACATATACACTAACAGACGTATAGTACATATGGAAACTTCGATTTATTTATAGAATACTCACAAAATGTAGATTCAAAACATCCTGAACAAATGGAAAATTCTTAATAAAATCACTAATATTTTGATCTATATGTGATTTTGCTAGAAGAAGATGATAAGGAAAGTAAAAACTTTAATTCCCAAAGTATCTATATCTATTAATTTAATTCAAATAAAACTTATTTATGCACAAATGAATTGATCGTACCTTGTGAGTTTTATAAAAACAATGTTGGCTCAACTGAATTGTTAAATAAATATTAACCATCACAACCTGTTCTAGTTTCGGGTTTCCGAACAAAAATAAAGAAAAAATTCCACTTTTGGTCCTGCGAGTTTTGCGCCAATTCCACATTTAGTCCTCGTCTTTCACTTTATCCATTTTTGGTACCTGACTATTGTTTTCTTGACCATATATAGTCCTTTTCCGGTAGTAAAAATGCCCGGAGTTGGACCAAAAATGGTCAAAAAAACAATAGTCAGGTACCAAAAATGGATAAAGTGAAAGACGGGGACTAAATGTGGAATTGGTGCAAAACTCATAGGACCAAAAGTGGAATTTTTTCCAAAAATAAATCCCGTACTTTATTTCCCAACGAAATGTAAAAATTAGCCGTAGTTTTTGGTACGGAGTGCATTTTTGGCACGGAACAAGATTTTAGTGGCGGTATTTTCGCCACAAATATCCGACGACGCTAAGCTAATCTGTGACAGATTTAGTGACGAATTTTCCGTCAGTAAAATCCGTATTTCTTGTAGTGATACAATGCGATTTTTAGAATTGTTATTTCAAGCCTAAGTCGTCTGAGCTAAACTTAAATAGTTAAATCTGAGCCAAACTTGTAGTTTCTTTCTAGCTGTTGTTGGACCACAATATCTTGCCAAATACCGAGCTAACATTTGACACGGAAGGAAAAACCGAGCCGACACGTTTGGCACGAGCTAGGTAGCTCGGATTCAAATTCCGAGCCAAGCCCGACAGTCTGAGAAAATCAGGAAGTGGTCTCTGCCATAATTTCAGTCTATAACAAGTTTTCTTGGTAGTGTGACAAAGAAAATAATGACTGATCTACGGGTTTGGTGTTAGGGACGGATCCAAGGGGGGGCGCAGGGTGGCGACCGCCCCCCTTGGACTTCCATTTTTTTCTACTATATATGTAATATTTTCATAAGATTTTCATACTTTAATTAGATATATATGTTTTCACCCCCTTAACTTTTAGTTTTCAAAATTAATATATAGGCTCACATAATGTAATAGTTAATTGGTGATTTAAAAGAAGTAGAATCTAAAATAATTTACATAACTTAAACAAATAAACAATAGAACTCATTGTTTAAGACTTAGGATACCTAAAAATTCTTAGTTTTGTAATGTTTAATTATCTTTATTAGATAATTAGTACTCGATTTTATAATATATATATCAAACGATATTGAATTTGAGATACAGTAGTTAAATAGTATAAATGTTTGTTGACATTAGATTACACTCTTCGTTTATCTCTTACTTTCTAAAAATAATTTGTTGAGTAGATAATACTTTAACTTATTTTAGCATTAATACAAATATGATACGCACCATATATATATATATATCAATTAACATTATTACGTATTATAGTATTCTAAGTATAATAATCTCATACATACTATTGTAATATTAAGAAAGCTCATCGTGACCCACAAATACCCTCCTTGGTAGACAGAAATCTCAATTCAAAAACCAATTCTTTATTCTGTTAAGGTTCATATTGTTAAACAAGACCTAAGTTATTTAAAAAGCATTGGTTAATGTGTACCTTTAATTTTAACCTCATTACCTTCAAATAATATCATAAAATGTTATATATCCTTTCTTATTTTCAAATAATTTTCCTTTGATTTGTCATTTGTTAAACTTTAATGTATCAATACGTTTTTCTAGAGCACTTATAGTTATTAAATCAAAGTTATCTTTTCATTGTATAAAATTAGAATTGGAATATAATAATAGATATAAATGTCAATATGTTATCGTGTATTTAGTATGTACTAATGGAACTCTTTGAATCAAAATTACCCGCAGAGCCCTACACTAGCGAAAAAATTTCGTCCTGCTATACTAACGAATTTTTTGCTATCCCGCTTAACAACGAAATTTTTTTCTCTCCCTACACTAATTAAATGTATTCGCCCCCCTTGACTCAAAATCCTAGATCCGTCCCTGTTTCGTGTCAAGATTAGGTCATTCTCTTTCCGTTTGTACCAATTGGACGCCGAAAAGCTCAATTTGAATCTACTTTATATACTTTCACTTCGTTTGATCAGTAAGTAGTTCAATTTCGTTTTACTAGAATTACAAAAATCTTCAAGAGTCGTTACATGATTTTTGTAAAGATTTGACCATTTTAGGGAAGGTTTAACTCCATATATTTTTAACTTGTCTAATTGCATAACTGATAACTCTATAAGCAACTAAGCAAGTCATACATCGATCCAGTCATCCAAATCACGATATGATGAGCTTATGAGGAAGAAGGATAAATTTTATCGAAAATGAAATATTTCCTCAATTATATCGAATAATGTGGCTCTAAATAAGAATATTATTGTGTATTTTATCATACCATCGGTCTTTTACTATACTCCATATACGAAGTACGATAGTATATGATAACCATGTCCGGCCTTGTCCGGACCGCCGACCAGACGAGGAACCACTTTCACAGAATACATGGAAACAATAAAGGATCATGAGGATACATTGAGCCAAAATATCGACCCGTACAAACTCCCTTGGCCTCTGACACTTCATCCCCGACTCGGGTCTCAAGCATCCAAGGAAACAAATTAACGGTGAACCAGTTGGAACATGGATGAGAACCATATATCATCTCTCGTTCCCTATTACCTCGTCCACCACTCCGTAGGTGGCATCAGGCATCATGTGTCACATTTTGTCATACACTAGCTTATACATGTACATCCATTTAATGTATCTAACATTTATTACTAGTATAAATACCCCTTCGGGCAAAAGTAAACGATCGATATTCCTCTTATACTTCATCACCTCGTAAACCATTTATTACTACCATTTCATTCTCTATATATAGCTCCTCCTCTCTAGATACGTGCCGCTAAGGGTCCTCCGGTAAATTATCAGTTACTCTTCAAGTATGTTTGGTTTGGTAGGCATAAATAAGCTTTACAAAGGATTGTAAATTAATCTTTGCAAAAAAATGGATTGTAAATTAATATTAATTAATACATACAGATCTTAATTTACAATCCTTAGTATGTAAAGCTTATTTATACACAAATAATTAATTGATCGTATGTGGTCGATATTGTTAAAGAAATGTTAGCTCAATTGAAAGGTTAAATAAATGGTAACCATTGCAACCTATTGGGAGTCGATCTTTTCCGGCTCAGGTCTCCAACCCTTTTGCTATACTCTCACACACCACCCTAGGCTAGACCACAACACAACTCCAAGCTTCTTCTCTACCACTAAGGTATTCTCTCTCACACTCTCACACAAAGGAAATGGAGAAGAAGAAGGGCACTGCTCTCTCTAGTTTTTCACGCAGGCTGCTCTCTCAAGGAAGAAGAAGAGCTACATAAATAATAGGCTTGTCAACAAGAGGACACTCACGGGTGATGCAAAGACAAGGAAAGACCGCAGCAGACAACTCAAGATGGGGTCACTCCACATAAGGCAATAGCCATATTATTGGTTAGGAAAGATTCAAACAAGAGGTACCAAAGTGAGAGTAAACATGGGGTGCAAGTCAATAATAAAGTGGAAGGAAGGCCTTGGTAGTTAGAATACCTCCAACACAACTTGTTCTAGTTTTGGAACAATAGATAACCGGTACTTTATTTCCCAACGAAATGTAAAAAATTAGCCGCAGCCTTTTTCATAATAAAAACTAACGTTCTCAATTGCTCATTGCTCAACCGTTTGGCAATTTTTGAATCCAAGATTTCTTCCTGAATTATTTCTCTAAATATTCTTATCTAATGAACCTTAATCTAAAAAATTTGTCTTCCACAAAGTCAATTAACTCAATTTGATCTCCAATAAAGTGAACAATGATGAGGATGCCCTTCCTTAATTAGTTCAAGCTCATGTATATTATAGTACATCACACGGCTTGAAACTAGTTCATCCAATGTACGTACAGAATAATTTAAAACTTAAAACTACGTACGAAACGTGATAATTAATTAAGCTTAATTGCTCAGATGGATGGAAAATTACATAGTTATAATCATTCCATAACTAAATGATACGAGTAATTTTCTAACACTCATGAATTGCTCCAAAAACGATCCATTCTTAGAATTATACCATGATTATGTTATTCACGATAATTTCTATTTTGATTTTTTCTGGTCGTATCAATCTCATTCAATTCCAGTGGCAAATTCCCTGTTTGTGTACCATCACTACTATCCACGTCCCCTTCTATCGTCATCCCCTCTATTCTCGCCGCCACCGCATCCCCACCAATTGGAACTTCAATATCTGCACATATAATTCACAAATTATATAAACATACATGGAAAACGTATATAGAAATTAGGACCTGGCCTTTTCACTCAAATGGGAATCATCAGATCAAATATGATTTGATTTGTTTAAGTTTGATATACATAACACTAAAAAATACAATATTGGCAAAGCCTTTTGAACTTTTTGGTCGGGATTTGCTAAAATTCATAAAAGATCTGATAGTGTTGTCAAATTTTTGGGGTTTAATGCACCAAACCCCCCTGTGATTTGGAAATTCGGCGCATTAGCCCCCTGTGATTTAAAAAATGCGTCAAACCCCCCTGTGTTTTAATTAATCATGCGTCAAATCCCTTATGTGAACAAATTCAATTGTCAAATAAAAGAAAAATGATTAACATTTTTGTATGATTCAGAGATTTTGACATATTTATTTGCATATTCAATCAAAATATTAGGAAAAGTGATTTTCAAATCGTTAAATTTATTCATAAAGGGGGTTCTGTGCATGATTAATTAAAACACAAGGGGGTTTGACGCATTTTTTAAATCACAGGGGGCTAATGCGCCGAATTTCCAAATCATAGGGGGGTTTGGTGCATTAAACCCCAATTTTTTGTCAAAAACATTTTGACACGAACTATTTGGCATGAAATCATTTATCAATCTGTATCAATCTCGTAAGATGTAACATATTCATATTTTACATATCCTAAATCTAATATAATTTCATCTAGTCTGCGTAGGGATGGACTGAGACGGGCCGGGCCGGTACTCTGCAGGCCCGGTACAAACTTAAAGAAAAATTGGAAAAGACAAATTTTAAGAAAAAAAATGGACCTGACCCGGCCCGGTACAAACCCGGCCTAGTCCCTAGCCTGCAACCCAAATATATTTAGTCCCGCTCAATCCCGACTCGGAGCAGGCCCGATCCGGGTCCAGTCTACCCCTAAGTCTGCGTAACACCAAAATAAAATCACAAGGAAAGCATCAATCCAAAAAATGTACAACAAATGGTTGATAAAAGATTTGATTCATCATTGTTATTATTTAGGTGGTCTTTTATCATCCATTTCATGAAAAGTTGTACTGTGGTTACGGATTTTTTTTTGAAATAGGAGAAAAAATGTTAGAAAATTCCAAATTTGTTATGTTTGATTTTGAAAAATACAAACGTTTTTACTTCTATTTAAAGCAATTCTATTTGATATCAATGCCCTTTTTAAGACTGTTTAATCCCAATTGAATACATTATTTATAAGGGAACAAATTAATTACCGGGATTGGATAAAAACCAAAGAACGAAAGCACATAGGAAAAGAACCAAAGGGATTAAATGGACGGCATTCTCAGCAAGCTTTGTACGACCCCTTTCTTTCTTGGTCACGTGATCGGAGGAGATTGGCGGCTCGTTGAATTCGTCGTTTGTTTCTAGAGACAAACCTTTAATAATTGCAGGAGAATGTTTCGATGAAGAAGAAGATGATGAATCGTATTTCACGTAATCATCCCATACTCTATTAGCGCTTCCTGATCTATACATCTTCCCAATACCCCTCTCTCTTCAGTAATTACGCAAGGGTTGATTAATCATATGATTATTAATTAATTAAGGTAATTAATATGATTGATGGAGAGAATGAGATGCCGAAATCAGTGAAAAACGGTTTTACCGTTTCTAGTACCATTTCTTTCATTTTTTTGAATTACTAGTACCATTTCTTTAGAATATTACCTCTATAATAATTACTAGTATTATTGTACTACCTCCGTCCCAAGGAGAAGTTCCTAATTTCCTTTTTTGACAGTCCCAACAAAAAGTTCTCATTTCCTTAAATGGAAAGTTATCCTACATAAAAACAGTGCAAAACAGTGTCAAACAGTGTCGAAACAGTGCCAAACAGTGTCAAAACAGTGCCAAACAGTGTCAAACAGTGCCAAACAGTGTCGAAACAGTGCCAAACAGTAAAATTTACCCCTCAGTAACTTTATTTCCTTAATATGTGTGAAAGTCAACCCGGGAACTTCTCCCTGGGACGGAGGGAGTATTAATCACCCTTCCAAAATTTACAGTGAGCGTGCAACCATTCAAAAAATAATTACATATGATACACACACACATATATAAAATATCAGATATATATCATTAAGCATATGAGATTCGCTTACTAGAATATATTAAAATAGTATGCACATTAAGGTGTCATTAACACATGATGTAAGAACTAAGACGCATGACCCATTCAAAAATTACTCTCATCCATCAAACCAACTAACTGCTTGCAAGACATTTTTGTAACTTCAAAACATAGAAGCAAAGAAGCTACATCATAAGAAGCCAGATTGACTAGAAAAGAGGTCAAAAGAATATACAATCTCACTAGGATAATGCTACACAGACACTAACAACTCACCAATTTGGAACCCAGATCATATTTTCCTTTGCCATTAGTGTGTGCCAACAAAAAATGATGTGGTGTCAAAGGTAGTTTAAAACAGCATTTCCTATATCGTAATCCGAAGTTGGTTGGGTCAGACCATGGAAAGAGAACTTCCTATGACACTGATTGGTTAGTGCTAATAAGCTGTGCAGGACTCTCTATCACTCTCTATGTAGACTTTAAACAGGGCGTATAAGTTCACGCCCGGGTGGAATGCTCTTAGAAGCAAAGAACATTACATGAGGGACAATCTCGTAATCATCATCGTACACGACATTCTGTGCATAAATGTTCGCTGCCAGGCCACAATTGATAAATCTCCCCACGTTTCCGTAACGCTCCGTGTCGATTCTGAAACCACTTCCATCAATTCTGTAACCAAATCCTTTGCCATTAGAGTCGTCTTCAACCAACTCTCCAACAAGCTCACAGATGAAGCTCCCGGCTGAAATGTAATCCCGCGACCTTACCCCCCATCCCCCACCATCTGATCCTTTCCTGAAGACCTCAAGCTGATACCGGCAGCCTTTTTGGCTAACTCTGTTTCTGCACGACTGTGGGCATTTGCAGGACGGGCCACATTCGTAGATAACGGGTTTTGAGTGAATATTACTAATAGATCCTTGGCTGTTGAACGGGATACTACCTCCGTTTTTAAATGCACAATAGCAATAAATAGAATCTGAGCACCCATTCTCGCAAATACAGCCAAGTGGGGCTGACAGATTATACCAGTCAGGATATCTAATGCTTGTCATGTAACTGAAAGACGACGGTGTATCGGCATATGAATCACTAAACACGGGTATGGCGAAATTCTCCCTACCCTGAGAAAGGTCTTTGACCACAATGCGTTCCATGTTGAGTTTTCTTAACTTTTGGCACCCGGAGATTTTTTTGTTGGTGAGGCTTGGTGGTGGTTGGGATGAGATTCTATGGAGCTCGAACTTGAATGCCATTTTTCCATAGTCCTCTCTTTCTTCCCAACACTTGGTCACCCGAAAAAGGCCCTCATATACGTACACGTCATTGCCACGGATAACCCTTACAGGTACACCTTTTTCCATGCTATTTTTCAGGGCAAGGTTGCCACAAATCAGCTTTTGATCCTTAGGATCATTGCCGTAAAGTTTTGGATTTCCACCGTGACCGACATATATGAAACTGTTTCGCGATATCATCTGGTTATCATAACGGCTGGAATCGACTATGCTAACTGCAATGTTCTTCCCTTGTATTTTCACATAATTTATGCCATGTACAAATTGGCGATGAAGGCCTACTACAGCAAGTTCAGCTCTAAACTGGAATTTGTCACCAATTTCTAATCCAGGAACATGCCCAACATAGAACTTTTCAGAATTCACCCACTTTTTCGCAGACCTAAGATCCACTGCTGTCTTTACATAAGTCCTATGACTAACTTTTACATGGTCATGCCTCTCTGCTTCATATGCTTGCAAATGTCTATGGTAGGCATCCCAAAAATGCTTCAAGGCCTGTTCCACACGTCTGCGGGATTCCTCCACATTGTATCTATCAGAAAGAAGATATATGCAGTTTTTAGATTGTTTTGGTTTCTGAATATGGTACTCAACAGATACCCCATAATCGGGAACATAGTAGTACAAACGAAAATGGTCTTCATCTTTGTAAAGAGTCTGATCGGTTGATACCCTGGACTGTCCTGACATATTCAAGAATACTACTTTATCACCAAACAGCACGCCCTCTTCACAATTTGCAACTTGCCTACTTGGATGCTCAACAGTAGCTTTGTTTTCAAAAGAACACTTTAAATCAAGCCTTTGTGAATGATGGTCCCTCAATAATGAATCATGAGAATCTATTTCATCAATTACAGGGTGACATCCATGTTGAAACTGACTTGTAGGATTCTTGGGTGCAATACCCTGTAATACTCTATTCTGCACTTTCATCGTAACCATACACTTCTTCATGGCTTCACCTTCTTGAAAAGAATCCCCTCCACATGCCATCGAAGGTCGCCTTTCAAACAAACCATGCTTTGAAGGAACTCCAATTTCAGTAACATTATTTGATTTTTCCTTCAATGCATATCTCTGCTCACTGTCACTGAATTCCTTCTGTTTTTCATTATAGCTAGTAGAGCTACGAGTCTTCATATCAAAAACACGCTGAGCAATACTCAGGCAGTCTCCAAGTGTGACTCCATTACAGTTAGGAGCTTTTTGGTTTCCATCAAACTTTGTGAGCTTGAAATTTGGTTCAATTGCCCGATAAGGGTCACCATTGTAATCGAAATCACAGGGACTCATTGATTCCGACTTCATTCTGCTGAGACACAAAAAAACCCGGCTCCAACGTCTATGGCGCAAGCGGAGACGGTAATCAAATCAGTTTGTTTCCAAATAATCAATACAAGCAGTGCAGAGTGTATTATATAAACATCTATAAACAACAAATAAAATTTAATTCCCTGAACTAGAGCAAGACAAAAGCATTAATAATTTCTTCCACTAGAATCCCAATTGTTCTTTCAATAAAACTGGAATGAGAGAGTTCAAGAAGACAACTATTCAAGTAAATACTGAACATAAATATTTCTATACGCCCAACATTCACATAAATAAACACAAATATTACCAAAATCGGCACAAACAAACCAAATTATTACTAAATTCGACAACCACCGTAATAATAACAGGAGAAAGAATAAAACACCTAAGACGATATACAGTGAATGCATGACTTCCGAGCTTCAAGAATCCAACATAAAGAGGAAATCCCCTAGAAACTTTTTACATAACAGTTGAGAAGTGGAGAACCGAACAAAATAGCAACGCCTCAAGAAAATAAATGCAATAAATATATAAAACGAAAAAAAAAACTCAATAGAACACTTACTGAAGCTTTAGAGGAGAATGTAGAAGAAGAAGAGCTGGAGTTGATTGAGAATGGAGACCCTTGCAAGCAGTTGCTCTGGAAGTGGAAAAGAGAAAAAGAAACAAACCTTACACAACGGAATGGATTGCAACCGTCATATTGCGGGCACCCAAATTCATTCATGAAAGTTCAAATTTTGAAGAACTGAAAAAAAAAAAGAAAAAAAAAAGACGTGGGTCAGCAGTTACAGACTGTAGAAGTGTAGAGGTTATAATTGAGGAAAAAGCGGCCGCCGCGGTTATAAATTTATAATGCTCCGTAACGCCCTAAGGCGGTTAACCAAAGGTTGTATTGTAGTAGGAATAAGAATTATTTGCAAATTTTTTGGTGGTAAAAATTTGACTTACTTATTATATGTGTGTTTATTTATGTTAATGTTGGGCGTTACCAAAATCGGCACAAACACTGATTATTACCAAAATAAACACACATATTGAATGAATTGTACTTATCCGTCCTGGAATGAATTGTACTCATCCGTCCTGGATCACCAACCGGTCAAATGGTTCTGAACTGGTACCCGGTATAGGTTCTAGGTTTTAGGATGGTCTTCATATATATAGTCCCTAGGGATGAAATTTTGGAACCGGAGACTGTAGAACCGGTTGGAACCGAACCGTTATAACCTGGTTCGGTTCGGTTCCTACAAATGAGATATTAGTTGTTAAAGGTTCGGTTCCTAGATGTTGTTAACGGTTCGGTTTCTGGTTCCTATAAAAAAGGTGCATGGAACCGTTAAGAAACCGTTATTAAAAAAATAATCGGTAAAAAATAAAATAGTATTAGTATTAGTAATTAATAATAATATAATAACAATCATAACTACCACAACAATAATAATACAATACATATTTAAGTAACAATTCTAATTTCTCTTCAAAAAAATTTAACAATTCTAATTTAATCAAGTTTTGTTCCATCACATAAGTATAAAATAACACAAATCACTTATAGTCGATTGCACATATTTTACTTTACTATTTTCATGATATTTCTAATTATTATATTTATTATAAATCATGGTACTAGCAAGTAGAATGTAATAGTATTTTTATATCTGTACATGTGAACTCAGTGTATTTTGTATGGGGATAAGGGTCAGTTTGGTCCTCGAAGTTGCAAAAAAAGGGTCAAATAAGTCCTTATATAGAAAATTCTGTCCGGACGTGCCATTTGAGGTGGCTCCCGGTGGAATTTTTTGATTAAACTTTTTTAT